GTGCTTCATTCCTTTGGATTCCCTTTCGTTCCTCCACAAAAATGCAAGAAATGATATAATCCCTAACACGTGTTCAGTGCTTTAGACTGTTCCAATAATAATCTTGAAAGAGACAGAAATAGACAGTGAGGGCCAAACACCGACTGCGGGAGCTTTTTCAATCACTTTTCTCTTGACAGGAAGATCGTGGGGGCAATTCTACTGCTAGGTGTGCATCCAAGAGAAACTCTTACACATGTGCCCCATGGATAAGAATAATCATAGCAGCCCTTTTGTGTTATATAATAACACAAAATTGGAAATAACCCAGTGTCCATCGACAGGAAAAGGGATCAATGGATGTTACATAATAGTGAGAATGATTAACCCTTGTTTTTATTATATGTTTCTGCATAACAAACTATGTTAAAACATAGTGGCAACCACAGCCAGTTATTTGTTCACGGTTTAGGCAGGGGCTCACTGGGGACGGCTTGTCTCTACTTCATGTGGCTTCAACTGGAGAGGCTCAACTGAGGCTGAAAGACAAATTTTCAAGATGGTCCTACTCACATGGCTGGCTCGTCAATGCTGGCAGTCGGTTAGGAGATCCGCTGGAGCTATTGGGGGTGGAGGCCTTGGTTATCTTGCATGTGGTCTCTCTACATGACCTCTCATAGCTCTGTGGTCTCAGAGTATTCAAACTTCTCACATGTAGCTCAAGGTCCCCAGGAATGCAAAAGCAGAACTTGCTAGATCTTCTCAAGGCTTAGGCCTGGGACAGGCACAGAATTACTTCTGTCCCATTCTATTGGCTAAAAGAGGTACAAGCCAGACATATTTAAGGGGAGGCAACTACTGAAGAGTGTGAACACACAGAGATCTATCTGATTGGGTGCCACAGATTTCCACAAGCCACAATCACCCATGGCCACATGGATAAATCTTAGGTAGGTCATGCTGCAGTAACAAATAACTTCTATATTTCAGTGATTTCACATAACAAAGGGTTACTTCTTTCTCTCATACATATCCCACACAAGTTGGTGGGGTGCTCTGCTTCGTACAGTCAGGATCCCAGGCTGATGGAGGCTCTACTGTGTTGAGGTGGCACCAATTGGAACATGAGACCTCACTTTTGCCACAGCCATGGAGGACAGAAAGGCTGGAGAATTTCACTTGGCCTCAGCCCCCAAAAAGACAAATGTCACTTATGCTCACATTTCATTGGCTAGAGCTGGTCACATGACTCTGTCTAACCTGCAAGGGGGTGCTGGGAAATGTAGAAGAGCACATAGAAAAATGGGTGAGTATTAATGTCTAGGTCGCATGTGATAAAACTATTGAAAACAAAGGGAAGTTCAACATAAAATTCAATAGAGTGTTTACTTTGAGGTAGAGGAGAAGAGGTCAGGGTAGAAGAGAAACTCCAAGGTGTCAGTGATATTTGTAAAGGCACTGAAGCCTAACCTCAGAGTGCAGGCTAAAAATGGCACTTCCGTAAATCTTCGCTGCGCTCCAGCCGAGACTGTTAGGCTTCAAAAGTACAAAGATGAATAAAATATGGGCTCATCCCCTCCAGGTTCCCAGCTCAGGGAATGCAGTAGGCACATAAACTAAGAAGGCCAGCAAAGCACAGTGAAGTGGATTATTCACCAGGAACTCTAGGAGCCAGAGGGAGCCCTGAGAAGACCTCCCTGCAAAGGATCATGTAAATTGGGCTATGAAGGATCAATAGGAGTTCAACCAGTGGAGAGAGGAGTGGAGATAGTGTAGGCTGGGGAGGAATACTCATTCCAGGAAGAGGAAACGATATGTGCAAGCCCTTCACTCCTGAGGCAGCCTATATTTGCTGCATTTTCTCACCACCTTCTATTCCCTAAACGATTTGATCAACTCATTCATACTGTAATGTGCCACTTAGAACCCTCTGCAGGACCCAGGCACTCATTCTCCCCACTGGCTGTTGGGATGATTAGCTGCTAATGCTTACAGCTGAACGCTCAGATAAGGGAGTGCTCTTGTTCAAGGTCATGCATCCCCCTACTCCAGGGGTAGCCACATCCAAATGACTGATTGAAGCAGGTGTATAAAGTCCTGGCCCCTTGCTTCAACTCAGGGAACTCTGCAGGACCATCCTAACTCCAGAGCCCCCAATGGGATCCACTAAGGCCTCTCTAGGGCCTCTAGTCAGCCCAGCTCCTCTCAGCCCAATCCTGTTTCCTTTATACCCTCATAGGTGTTGATTGCAAATGCACTCCTCAAGAAACCTCCTTCAAGCAAATCTCTACTTGAGAGTGTATTTTCTGGGAAACCTACCAAAGACACCATTGGAGTATAAATGATTACTCAATTTCAAGAGATATCTTCCTTGGAGGTGTTGGAAAGCAATAATAATAACTAATATTCAGAGAGTGATTCCTATGTGCCAGGAACTATGCTAAGCACTTTACCTACATGGTCTTATTTAATGAAGAATAGAATTTGTGCCAAAGAAATGAATTTCTCATGGTGAAATTTCAGGCTTAGGTAAGGTGATATTTGCAGCTTAGGGAGACTGGCTGGAAGTATTTGTGTAGCACAAATTCTGCCACAAATTTCTCTGCCTCACTATATGGTCAGTCCCGATCTTTGTACTGGCTGAGTAAAGTCCCTAATGGGTCAGAGTGGGGGCTCCCAGTCTCATTCTTCCTTAAAAAAAAAAAAAAGGCAGGTTTTCTTCTGCTTAGCAATATAATATCTCTATTTTGCCTCTTCTCTGGGGTCTCACTTCTTGAGAGCCAGTGTGGAGGTGAATTCCTCTGAAAGCTGACTGCCCCGATTTGGGACTCCCCGGTCCATTTCTGAGAAATGGTGACATTGTTCCCAGCACTTCCTCTCCCTTCTTGAGCAGCTCCTGCAGCCACCATAGAGCCCTCCTCACATCTTCCTTTTTCAGGCTTGGACTTTCTACCTTTCCTTTCTATCATCACCTCCTGCCCTGGTGGGGACTGATCTGGACTGTCTTGTCCCCTAGACTGAGCCTTGCTCCATCCCTAAGCTGCCTGCTTTCTGGGGAGCATGCCCAGGCAGCAGACAGTGGCCTGACTGGCCCTCTGGCCCTCAGGAACTTGTCCCGACATGTCGAGTCCTGGCACGGAAGAGGCTGATGGCTGTTTTGTTCTTGGGGCTGCCTGCTTTTGGGGGAAGGGGGATAGTAGAAGACAGGAGACACCTCTCCCCGCCCTGCCCCCCTGCAGCCAGAGACCTCAGGGAGACCTTGGTCTGAGTTTCTCTGAACAGAATATGTGGTTTGCAGCATATCCCTTCAGATTGGCCTGAGATCTGTTATGTGCGCACACACGTGTGTGTGTGTGTGTGTGTGTATTGGGAGTCAGATCTCCTGTGTAACTTCTTCAGGGCAGAAGTCCTCTTATAAGGACATACCTGGCTATACATTCAAGTGTATGGTTGGAAACACTTAGTAGGTGCTTTATAAATATTTGTTGAATTCTGTTGTGGTGGTGCTGGTGGTGAGCTAGAGGTTATTAAAAAAAACCCTCACTTCCCAACAATAACAACAAAAATAATTATTTTATGGTGAAGCTCGGTACCACAAAACTTTAAGTAATTCAAAACAAGCCTTCATTAAAATTTTTTTCCCTAAGTAAACAGTTAGACAATGTCAACTCTATTTGAAATGCCTGAAAGCCGAAGGGATTCAAAGCAGTACGAGGTTGTAGGAGGATGTGCCTGTCTTCTGTTGGACATTTGACAATCCAGACTTTGGATAGTGCAGGTATGTGTGTGTTGGGGGACAAGGGGAGGGCGGAGAAAGGAGCTAGGGAGAAGGGGCTGGTCCTGGGGTCTTGGACTTTTTGAGGCCCTCCTAAGGTCCAGCTATACTCCTGGCCTGACTCCAATATCAGGCAGGCAAGAGGGTCTGATGCTGTGCCTTCCCACCCCAACCGTGGTTCCCATCCTGGCAGTGAAAGAGAAAGAGGCTTGTATTCTCTGAGGTCAGCTGTGTTAGAGGAAGAAGACTGGGCATGTCCGGGCAGAGATTTCCAGACACTGAACAGCCCTAGATGTCAGTATTTATAGTCCAAATAGACTCCAAGCTTGAATTCTATTTTTTAGTGGGATTTCTGTTCAGATTAACACTTATCTGCAATTTTTTAAAAGCAGAAACTGCAAATGTTTTAGGTGAAGGAAGGGGGCAAAGGTGAGATCCAAGGTGAACTAGGTGTGTAGAGGTTTGTGGGAACATATGGGACCTCACTTGCTTCTGTATCTGTCAGAAACACCAGGAGACATTTCCAGAATTGTTCTTCATCCATGTCACTTCAGTAAGCTGCCTGAAAATTAGGGGTCCTGGGTGTCTCCCTCATTCTAGAACCTATGAAATATAGAGCAAGAAGAAGCTCTGGTATAGAGGCAAAACACCTACGTTCCAACCATAGCCATTTATTGCTGTGTGATCTGAGTCAAGTCACTGACCATCTCTGAACCTGTTTCACCAGAGGTGTATGTGGGCTGTGTGGGGAATATTCAGGAGATAACTCATTCACCCATTCTTCCCCTTCCTAGCCATAGAATCTGCTGCAATCACAGAGGTTTCTTCTGTTGAGTTGAGAGAGGTGGGTGTGGGAATGAGAAGGAGAGTTCAGGGAGGTTTGTTCAACGCTGAATTTCCCCCATTTCCTCTGGAAACCAGGTTGACCCTTTCTGAGAAGTGTCCCCAATTCGCTCCTTCCCTGAGGCATTGCCAAGCAAACCCTTTGCATCCCTTTAGTTCTGTGGGACTCAGTTTCCTCATCTGTGAAATAAAGGGGATTGAATCTGGTTCAGACCTCCAGGAGGCTTTCTTGGGGTGTCTGGGTGCCCCAGGTGCTTGGGGGAGAGATGGTTTAGTGAGGGTTCCGTGGAAATAGTGGTGGTATACTGGGGCTTTTCTGGGAATTGCAAAGCGAGGCGCATCATTTTTATTATTTAAGGATTCTTATTTTACTATTAATCTCACCCCTTGTGATCTTTTTCAGGGCTCATCTTAACAATGTCATCCCCTCCTGGGGAATGCCAACTCACGCAACTGAAAAAAAAAACACCCCAAAACCCCACATTTGTGGCTCAATTCGTAGGGAAATGGTCAAGCGCACAAATCAGGACGCGGGGTATGGAGAGGCGGGAAGCGCCCTCCTGCAGCACGCGAAGCTGACACCGGAGCACGGAGGAGCGAGTGCGTTGCCAGGCGCGGAGGAGGAGCCGGTGTCCCGGGGGAGGGCGGTCCCAGCCGCGCAATGAGCGGAGCAGCCGGCCCCGCCTGAAACCCCAGTTATAAGGGCCGCGCCCGGCGGCGCCAGCTGAGGTGTGAGCAGCTGACGGAGTCGGTGGCTTAAAGTTCCAGAGCCCGCGCGTGTTCTCCGAGACAGAGACATTCAGAGGTGAGGGAGTCGTGGCCGGCAAGGACAGACCCGGAGCTGGCGTCCGGGAGCAAAGCTGAGCTGAGCGTGTCCGTGTTTGTGTCCCGTACATGTACTGCCCGTACGTGTGAGGGTCCGCGAGGGTGTGCGTGTGCTGTGTCCACAGGTGAATGACGTGCGTGGGTCTGTGCGTGAGTCTCGGTTTTGCTCACGGCGTGTCTGGAAGCGCGTGTGTGATGGGGGTCGACATGTGTCGGAGACTCGGGGCGGGGAGAGGGACGTGAGTGCCAGGGATCCGCTGCCACGGTCCCCTCGCGTACAAACTCGGCTGGGATGAGGGGAGGCGTGGACCCGGCGCGGCCGGCTCGCGGCGTGGGGATGAAGACCCTGTCCGCGGAGGGGTCCGGCAGGGGCGCGCACGCCGACTGGGCACGTTCGTCTGGGCTCCGCTCCTGGGCGGCTCTCAGATCCAATGCGTGAGGTGTGGGTCCCCGACGCTGTCGTGTCAGCCACCCGACTGGGCGCTGAGGTCAGCGCGGGCAGTGTCCCTTGCTCTTGGGAACAAGTCAGGACACATCCCTTAAGGGCCAGCGAGGAGGTGACTCACGGCGACAAGGAGACCCCCGGGGGCCGGGCCGGGTGAGGTCAGAACTCCGCCCTGGCTGGGGTACAGTGGTGCCCCCGAAGGCCCCTTCCGTGCCCCTCCGCGGTCTCCGTCCCCGCCCCCTCCCCTTCAGCACAGTGGCCTATTTGGCTGGTACAAAGTGTTCCCAGAGAAGCGGGACACCGGGAGGTCCAGGAACGGGTGTCCGGTCTCCACCCAGCCGTGCGTCCTCGGGGACCTGGAGCCGCGGCCCCGCGCCGGGTGGGTTAGGGCCAGCCTGTCAGTTCAAGAAGCGCAGGAGGCCCCCCCACCTCTCTCCCAGCACTGCCGGGAGACCCCGTCCCTGCCTGCCATCGGGTCAGGGCGAAGGACTCCGAAGCCGGAGCCGAGCTCTGCGCTGCGGGGCGAAGGGGCGTGCGGTCGACGCCGGAGTGGTAGGCGGGGTGGGGTGGCAGCTTGGAGAGGTGAGGAGGCTTCGGGGGAGCAACGCTGCTCAGGGCCTCTGTTAGCTGCGTCCCCGGGCTTGGGGCGCAGAATTCCGGACCCAGTCCAGAATTCCCTTTCCGAGGGCGACAGAGCTGAGCGGCGTAGGAAGGCGAGTCGCCTTTCGGGTGCCGCCGCCCATCCCGGGCCACAGTGCGGCCGCCAAGTCTCAGGACCTTGGGGGGGACACTTGCGCCCTCATGCGGAAAAGAATCTTGGAACTGGGTTTGGCACTTTCGGGCGCTCAGGCAGCTCCCTCCCTCTTTCACTCCACGTCGCGTTTCGGGGAGGACTTTCGAGCGGTTTTGTTTTCTGCGCTCCCGTCTATTTTTATTTTCCAGGGATCTGACTCATCCCGTGCTTTGGGAGTGGAGATAAGGTGGAGGGACCAGATCACTGCGCGCCTGTGCGTGCGGTGCGTGTGTGGGACAGAGATGGCGCGAGAGTGCGCGGTTTCCCAACAGTGGCGGGGTTTTCGGAAGCCTGGCTGGGTCAGCGTGACGTGTTCGCGGCCCCAGTCCCCCTCCT